CACACACACACACACACACACACCAGCTATAAGAGAAATACCACAAGTGAGAGGTGGTGGTTGTTAATTACGTGCTGTCAAGTTAGTTCCGATTCATAACAACCCTGTATAGGGTTTCCGAGGAGCAGCTGGTGGGTTTGAACTGTCGACCTTGAGATTCAAATCAACCTTGTGGTCCAGTGCATTATCCTGCAGCACCACACCAGGACTCCACAAGTGGGTGGTAACATCATTTTATTTTCTCCAGGTTTAAGTGCTGGGTCTAGGGGAAGGCGTTCTCTCTTCTCTGTCGGCTCTGGGGGAAGGTCCTTCTTTCTTCAGCTTCTGTTTCCTGGTTCCTTGAAGATGTCTGTGTGTATTAGCAGATATTCCTCCCACCCCATCTTTCTCTCTACTTGCTGACTTAATCTCTTTTTACCTCCAAAGAGATTGATTGAAAATACACCGTAATGTGTTGGATTTAGTTGGTATGGCTTTTTCTATCCAATGTCTTCTAAATTCCCACCAAGTGACTGGGAAGCCAGAGGATGTTAGACATGGTCCTCACATGGGCTTTCCATATGCCCTACATAGCCCATTCCCAAATGGGATTATAACCACAGGTGCTGTAGATAAGCACTGAACTGCTAATTGAAAGGTCTGTGGGTCAAACTCACCAGCCATTTCTCAGTTGCTATGAGTTGGAATTGACTTGACAGCACTTAACAAAAGGTTAGGTTACAACACGTATTTTAGGGAGACATAATCTAATTCATAACAATGGTCTTGAACCTTCAAACTCTGGGGTAGCAGCTGCACCCATTAACCATTTACACCACCCCATTAATGAGCTACGGTGTGGATGCCTTTCTCTCTGATAATTACTTCCTTTGCTCATAGCTTGAAAGATTAAGAAACAAGATCATCCAGGCCACCTTTGGCAGCACAGGGGTCAAGTCCTTGGCCACTGAGCTCTCCGACAATGACCTCCTGGAGGCTCTGCAGGTATATTCCAGCCCTCAGTGGTGTTCTTGTCCTGAACCATGCCTTCAGGATCGGGGGGGGGGGCTGGATTCTAGGGACCCCCATGTTCATCCTCTGCTCCTCATCTTCTCACTGACCATACAACGTCTCTGTGAGGTGGACATGCGTACCCTGGGCACATCTTTCTTCCCTGGGAAGAGAGGACTAGATTGCCCCCAAAGTCTCTCCTAGCCCTGAGTGTCCACTCTAACTGCCAACAAGAATGGCTGTTCTAAATGCCAACAAGGCAGGCAACATCTCTTCCCTAGAGAACCATCACAGAGAGGAGCGACTTCTACAATCAGCTAAAGCAGAAAGGTGTGAAAGTTCCCCCCTTGAACCAATCGGATGGCATGCTTTCTTCACCTAGCAAACCCAAGAAGGTGTCCTCCAAGTAGGTTGTGCCCAGCAGAGGCCAGGCCCTGGCTCTGGAGGCTATCCCCCTGTGTCCTACTCCAGCCAGAACTTCACCCTCTGGTTCAGAATTAAACTCTCTTGTTGGCTGTGGTCTCCATCATTTTCTCTCCCGTGTCCACACCTAGCATATGGGCCTCTGCAGCTTAGAGTCATGCCCCCCTCCCCGCGTCCAGAATGCACTCATTGGGAGTCAGCACCCCAATGCATGCCACTGAGTCCTCCTTGGGATCTGCCCTGAGCAGGGACCATCAGAGGTGGCAGGAGGCCTGAAACAGGGTGTCCACCAACCATACTGAGTTTTCACCCACACCCGGTGCTCTCTGGGGTGTACATACAGAGAGCCGGCAGGGCACTGTGACATGAACTCACCTTGCCGGGGAGCTGGTCAGCTGGTGGGATCCCTTGGAGAGAGTTGAGGCATACTTGCTGGAGTCAAGATGAGGTTTTCTGTTCCCAAGAAGATGTACAGCCTCGAAAACCCTATAGAGAGTCGGTTAACAACAACAACAATAATACATCTCCTGGAAGGAGCATGCCCTGTCCCAGAGTCTGAGATGCGGTGGATGCTCAGTGTCTACGGAAGGCAAGGATCCGTCCATGCCATCTGTCATTTCACAGAGACCCACTCACACTGCCCACACACTCAAACGTGCACCTCGCGCCCGCACCACACTGCTACGCTGCCCACGTGAGCCCAGCCAGTGCCTCGTGGCAGGCGCGCCTCCCGCCCCAAGCCCGCGGGGATGTGGTCTCTGGTTTTCCGCCGGAGCAGGACAGAGCGTCCCGCTGTCTCACCCCCGAGACCCGGTCCGGACTGGCCTTTTCGAGGCTGCTTCCAGCCTCTGGGCACCTCTCCGGATTCAGCCAAGAAGGACAGACTTCTTCCCTCAAGTCCTGATTCCCCCGAGGGAGGCAGGAGGGCTGGGACGCCTGGCGAGGAGCTGCAGAGCGACGAGGTCCGCTCCCGCCGGTCATGGGTCCCTGGAAGCGGTGCCCTCGTGCAGCTCCTCCCGCAGCAGGCGGACTTCCCCGCGGACCCAGAGGACTCCGTACTTGCTCCGTCCCTCGGCAAGTTCCTCCGTCAGCCTTTCCCCAGCCCTGGCCGGCTCTGGCCGGCGGTGACAACAGCCAGCTCCCGGCTTGGCCCCGCCCCCACGGCTTAGCCCCTCCTAGGCACCGCCCTTTCCAGCCCTACTCCACGTCTTAGGCCGCCCCGGTCCGGACCCGCCCCTTTACCCAGGACCCGCCCCAGAACCCCCCTTCGCCGTCTCCCCTCGGGGCGGGAGTCGCGTCAGGCCCGCGCACCAAGAACGGCGGGGGCAGAGGGCGCGAGGTGAGGCTCGCGGGCCGGCGGGAGGCAGGGGGCGGTGGGCCGGCTGCGGGGCCACAGAGGGGGAGGGCGGTCCCGAGTGGCCCTCGGGAGAGTCCCGCTGCGGCGGGGGGAACTAAAGGGAGAAGGAAAGAGAGAGCGCGCCCCCTGACATAACCGACAGAGGGGCTGCTAGATCCCAGACAGCCCTCTCCGGAGACCACGGAGTCACTGTCCCTGTCTCTGCGCCCAGGACCCATTCTCTAGCCCCCTTGTAACATGTTCTTTCTTGAAGCGTGAATAGTGGTCGCATCGCTGGAGCTTAGCCGGGGCTCCCTGGGCCCTGGAAGCTACAGCCCCCCACCCCAGCAGTCTCTGCTTCCTTTCTAAATTGTGGAGTCCTGGGGATGATGTATGGAGGCAAAAAAGGGTCTGGAGAGAACGCTCCGTATACCCTCCCGGGAGGCCCTGCCAGGGCCTTCTCCTTCCCCGGTACATGTGCCTACAGAGAGGGAGGGAGGGCAGGGAAGGCTCGAAGTTTCGGTGCCACGGGAGAATTGAAAGCCACTGGATGTATGTTCACCAGCAGCCAGGAGTGCTTCCCACAGCACATAATAGGCCTGAACAAGGGCTGAGTTTTCCTCACACCCAGAAGTCCACAGGTGTGGGATTCGGTGTCCTAGGATTAGTGTCATGTGACTATTCAGGTGACAAGTTGGCTGCTGCCATCACCTCCACATGCAAGGCAGGGAAAAGATGGCTGCTGGTTCTTTCCTGAAAACAAAAGCTTCCCCCTCGCCCCTTGTCTGCTTTGCTATGCCTGTGCCTAGACCAGGGATAGTGTGCTTATCTCAGCCCAGTGGTGACTGTCACATGGCTGCCTGCAACAAGATAGGGATTTGCCCCCTGTGAGGAGCTTTGAGTCTCTGATATGGCTCCCTGCTGGCCCAGGTGTGGAACAAGGCCAACCCAGAAGCACATCAGGGATTTCAGAACTGTCTGCTTTCATGGGTTTCATGGTTGGCTTCTTACAGATAAGTACCCGCTGTTCCTTTAAGCTGCTGTAGCCCGGTCCGGATTACCTGGGAGAAAAAGGTCAGAGTTGCCCAGGCTCATGCCCCAAGCAAAGTCTCAGCCCCTCCACGTGGGGGACTGGGTGGGATGATTGGATGGCAGACCCCATCTCTGAACCCAATCCCACGCTTAGGTGGGTTACTCACCTCCTGGTGTTCTGGCCCCAAAGGGAACAGCGACAGAGGTCCTCAGGCATCCGAACAACCTTCCTTATGGAGAGTGCAGTGAATGACCACATCTCTGCTGTCACTGTCTCCCACCCCATCACAGTCCCAGCTCAAACTCTGCCTCTGTCTCTCCAGTGCTTGTGGGGGGCCAAGCCCTGTGGGAACTACCCCTCCTGCTCTCACCACCACCTGATCCCAGCCCTCCTTTCCCGTCTCTGCAGGACCCCCAGCAGACCCAAGCTCAGGGCGAGACAAATCCTGGGGACAGCTGCCACGGCAGCCCAGGCCGGCCAGGCCTCCTCCCCACAGAGCGGTCAGTACCAGCCACTGCCCCCTAGGCCGGCTGGTCCAGCCTCCCCAGAGATCAGCAGCAGGGCTTCATCTAGCAGGAATGGTGGAGGCAGTTCCCAGGACCCATGGTGTCCTCTTCTCTGATGGTGGCCCCAGGGGCTTGGCCTCCCTTGATAAATGTCCAGGCCTCTTTCTTGGTGATTAGGAGCCCCAGGGAATTGTTCTGGATGAACCCATCTTTGTACATTCCTGAGGTCAGCACCTGGCTGCCTGCCAGCCCCTAGGGAGGAATTCCAGCTTTGCCTCTTCTCCGGATGACCCCCAGGCAGGTCACTTAAGCCCTGTGCAGAATGGGCCCAGAGCTGTTAGTGAGCTTCTGGAGACATTGAGTAAGGGGTTGGCGCCTGCACCATTATTGCTTCTCTGCCCTGGCCCCTGGGAGGCCCTGACTGTAACACAACCCTTGCGGTGTCCTACTGCCTCCCTCTCCCCTCCAGGGAAATCCTCACCTGGCCCTCTGCCCTCCCCGCAGCATGCAACCCCAGGAGAGAGCTATCCAGTACAGCCGGTGGAAGGACGACAGCCAGGATGAAGTCAACATGGTGGACATGTCTGACAATGAGGGGGCCTCACTCTGCCAGAGGTGAGGAGGCTCCCACCCCCTACCTGGACCTGTAGTTGTCCCTACTTATAAGCCTTAGTCTCCCCTACCCAGGGTCCCAGCCCTCCACTCCAGCCCCAGCCCCAATACATCCTCTCGAGGGCAGGGGGTAGGATGGGGCTGCCTTCTTCTCTCCTAACTTGCCCCTGCCTCCTCCTGATCCTGCCCTGCAGTCACTCCTGCCGATGTGACAGAGACCCATCCTGTCCATCGTCTACCTTGTCCTGGGGTCCATTTCTCCCCACCAAACTCCTTAGGAGCCCCCACTGCAGCCCTGACCTCAGGCTCACGGAAGGTTTTTCTCATCCCAGGGTCTACCAGAAGCTGTGTACCGGCAAGCTGGGCATCGCAGTGAAGGTGGTGGGCGGAGTGGCCCTCTTCTGGGTCATCTTCATCCTGGGCTATGTCACCGGTTACTACGTGCACAAGTGCAAATAAATGCACACATGCAGGACCTGGAGTGGGAAAGACACCCCAGATGCACAGACCCCCCATGTACACAACCCTTGCATATATATGGATACCTCCAATTTTCATAGACCCCAGGAAACAGGACTGTAGATGCACACAGCTTGGGCACATGTCTTGGCACATGGGATGTTACATAAACATCACAGGTCCTGAAGAAGAGGGACAGACTCCCACAGAGACACAAACATTTAAATGAATTAAAATGAACTCATGTGATTAACAAAATGGTGTCAGTGGACAATGGAGTGGACAATGATCCTGATTTTTTCCTTCCCCAACACTTAAGCCTAGTTAAACCTCTTGTAACCGCCGAAACCTACTGCCATTGAGTCCATTCCAACTCAGTGGAGCAGCTGGTGGGTTTGAATGGTGCTTATCCCACAGCACCACCAGGGGTCCTTTGTAGCCACCTGGTTCACTGTAAATCAGGCCACCTTTGTTGACCAATGGGCTCCTTAAATCATATGAGCCAATCAGAAATAAGCTTTTGCTTCCTCCCTCTGTCAATAAAAGCCAATTGCGGCCCGATACTCTGAGGAGTACCTTCCCGCAGGTGGTTTGGTGCTTCTCAATTCTTGGCTCTGCTGCCTGAATAAACCTCATCCAATAGATTGATGTTATTATTGATTCAGCTTCTTTTGACGATCTTTGGCATCAGAAGTGGGATTCTGCAAGAGACTCCAGTGACTCTCCACAGAAGCAGGCTTGGTACCTGCAAATCCTGCCTTCACGCAGTTTGCGGAGGTTGCCTCTGGTAAGTTTCCTCTCAGATCCAAACTTTGCTCTTTTTGCATTTTGAGTTCTCTGAACTTTATTGGGTGCTAGGGCAGATGGGGTCTAGCCCTCTTGACGAACTAGATTCGTTTGGGGTTTTCCGCAGGTAAGAAAACCCTAAGGGTCCAAAGCATGCCTGTGAACTTTACGATTAACAATGGATGTAATTGACTTTATACAATTTTGTTTTATTGTGGGGCCATTATGGGGAAGATTTCAGATAGATTGTTGTTGTTGTGTTAAGTGCTGTTGAGTCGGTTCCGACCCATAGCGACTCTGTATACTGGGTTTCCAAGGAGACGCTGGTGAGCTTGAACCACTGACCTTGCAGTTCAAATGGCTTTGCAGTCTGGCGCATTAACCCACAGCACCACACCAGGGCTCCTTCAGATAGATTCAGCATGTTGAAATTCTTCCGTTGGTATTTGGAAACTTCCAAACATCAAATTGACTCCAAATTAGTTTCTCTTAGAGAAACTGCTGACTGGTTATAAAAAATGAATCAAGAACTAATTTCTCAAAGAATTGCACTGGTCAGCTGCCTCTCAAAAGACTGCCCAGTACACCATGTGGACATGATACAACTACTCCTCCGCCTCAGCAGTCCACTTTGCCTGCTTGTTTTGCACTGCTTGCCTGATTCCAAGTCTCTCGTGGCTAAACTTTCTGTTTCCTGTGTCAGGAAGGCTCTTCTCCACAGATATCCTTCAAGGTTAAAACAGCCACCAATAAAGCACTTGATGGAAGCCAGAAACCTGACCAGATAGATTTCTTATGCCCCCAGGTCAAAAGCAAAACTACCAGCTATTTTAGAGGTATTTCCCAAACCCCAGGGAGGATCTTGCAAAAATTCACTGAGGAATTTAGTCTTCTAGTTGAGGCATACAACCCTGTTCTCTCTGATTTATAACTAACCTAAATGTTTATGGGTCCAGGAAATGCCTAATATTGGGTGCAAACGGTCGAATAGGAAAACCCCAGAAAAGGATGTAAGGGACCCTAAAAATCTGAGACCCTCTAAACAGGTCATAAAAAGAGCCCAAAGGATCTTAAAAGTATTTCTCTAGGAAAATAGATTAAAGTTGAAGATAGGGTTATGAAAATGTAATCTTTTCGTGCCTCAAGATGTTATTGTCAAATTAGGTAATAATATTCCTTAAAAGAGTTTTATTTTGATTGGGTTCATGATGAAAAAGCACTTATATAAATTGAATAACTCTTCTAACACTAGATGAGGCTTTCTGCTCCTGTAAAGATTTACAGCCTCGGAAACCCTGTACAGGGTTGCTATGAGTCGGCTCCATGGCACATACCGACTCCATGGCACATAACAACAACATTCCCAGAAATTAATGAAAGTGAATTCATTCTGACAAAAGTTCCAAGGTCTTTTTGGTAACTTAGACTAGACTGAATATATGGGATGTGTTTGTTATGAGGAAAGAGAGTAATTTTGTCTTAGAAGTGTAGAGACTGGTTGATCCAGAAAGAAAGAAAAAAAAGAGAGAGAAAGAAGCATAAGACCAAATCTGGTGGGGTTGGGGAGGGTAGGTGAGGTTTGATGGGTTTCTTTCTAAACTAGCTAAGATTTGGTAATAACTGGGTTGTGCATAAGGTCATGATAAAGAAGCAAGGCTAAACTGATGACCAGGAGAAGAACAGCAAAGCTAAGAAGCCAGGGCATTCCCAACAGGGTGGTGGGGCTGGTAGAGGTGGTGGTGGTGTGTGCAGCCGAATTGGTTTTCATACATAGCGACCCTGTATAGGGTTTCCAAGAGTGGCTGGTGGGTTTGAACTGCCAAACTTGCAGTTAGCTGGGTTAGCTGTCCAGCGCTTAGCCTACAGCGCCACACTAGCGCTCTCCCAACAGGGTAGAAATCCTTTAAGAAATATTGAAAATAGACTAAATAAGATATATACTACACAAAGCCATCAAGTCCATGCCGACTCATAGCAACCACTGCAAGGCAGGAGAATGCCCCACGGGGGGTGGGGGTCCCAAACTTGTAAAGATTGCCATAGCTTTTTCCCCATGAGGCAGCTGGTGGGTTTGAACTGCTGACCATTTGGTGAGCAGACGAGTGCTTAATTACTGCACCCCCCAGTGCTCCTTAGATGGACACTGAAGGGGTTAAAGCAAGCAGAGACTGTCTTAATACCATTTTCAGAAATTGGGTGGATCTTCAACATAAAAGAATCATAAAAATGCTCTTTCTACTGAGGAGGAATTTTTTTTTTAAAGATAAAAATCGCAGTGAAGAAACCTCCAAAATTGAGAAATGTTTAACCAAGATATGGATGAAGAAATTTTCCTATTCCACCCTAGCCAGAAGCCTAAGGTATTTATTGTCCATATCAGTGAATAAAATGGCCAGATGATGCTGGGGCCTTGTCATTTCTAAAACAAGTGGAGAAAAATGTAAATGATTAGGGAAAAAAAAATAAATAAAAACCAGGTAAAAGTTTGTATGAAAATTTAGAATATTTAAGTGAATTTTATTTTAGCGATAATTTTGTGTTGTGGTATATAAGGTTGAAGATACTTGTCAAGATTTTTAGATAACTTGCTGTTAAGAAATTGAGTTAATATATACCATAATTCAATTTATTCTTATTTTATGCCACAGAGAGGATATATGAGGGTTTACTAATAAATCTTTGCCACTTTAAAAAGTTGTACTATATGAGATATGGAGTCCTGGTGTGGTGCTGTAGGATAAGCCTTGGATGCTAACCACAAGGTCAGCCACTCTTCAGAAACTCTGTACAGGGTTGCTATGAGTCAGAACTGCCTCAATAACGCTTAACAACAACATAAGAGATATGTGGTAAAAACAGAAAGTTTAAGAGGTTTGTAAAAGGGACTTTTATTTTTTACAATAAATAAATTCTATCTGTCATGGCTAAAGTGTAATACGCTAATTTATGTGATTTTTTTCTTCTGATTTAATTTGGGGGTGTGGGTAGGAGTAAGAAGTTAAGTAAGGTAGGCTAAGCCTGTTAAGTGTCGTCGAGTTAGTTCTGACTCATAGTGGCCCTGTATAGGGTTTCCAAGGAGCAAGTGGTTGAGTGTGAACCGCCGACCTTGTGGTTCAAACCAACCTTCGAGGCCAGTACTATATCCCACAGTGTCACACACACTTTGTTTATTGTTAGTTATGATTAGTGTCTTGATGTGGCGCTGTAAGATAAGCACTGGACTGCTAGACACAGGCTGGTGGTTCAAGCCCCCTAGCTGCGCCTTGGAAATCCTATATAGGGTTGCTATGAGTTGGGACCAACTTGATAGCACTTAACAACAAGAGTTAGTGTTAGGGGCAGCGGTTAGGCTAGAACTAGGACTAAGGCTTGGTCTAGTTTTAGGGTTACAGGTGTGGTTGTTAAGTGCCTTCAAGTCAGTTCCGACCCACAGCAACCCTGTATAGGGTTTCCAAGGAGCAGCTGTATATCGCAGCCCCAATCTTGATGCCACCTTCTTCTTCATATAATCCAGCTTCTCAGATTACTTGTTTGAGACACAGATTAGTAAGTGTTATGAAAGAATACAACCCTGGTGCACACCTTTCCTGATTTTAAATCATTCGGTGCTCCCTTGTTCTGTTCAAAGGACTGCCAATCCTTCTTTGTTTCCAGCTTTCTCATTCCAAGAACCAACTACTAAAGCCAATGATCACATGACAGAAATTTGCAAAGTCAATGACTTATTCATTGCAGATATCTTTTTTTCAACAACATAAATTGTAATACATACAGCATGGTACTTCAAGGTAGATCTAGAAATGCTCTTTTTTATGATAAATGCGCTTAAGCCATTTCTGGTTAATTTGTCGTTCCTGTCTGATTCAAAATGGCCCGTACCAGTTCATTTTAGCTCACTGATTTCTAGGATATTGATCATTATGGGCTTCATTTAGTTTTCTGTGACTTCCAACTTTCCTAGTTCCATACTTTGTACATTCCATATTCCAGTTATTAATGGCCATTTGCAGCTGGTTCTTCTCATTTTGTGCCCCATTAGCAAGTCAAAGTCCTGAAGCTTTGGTCCATCTACCTCTTTGAGGTTAACCCTACTTTGAAGAGAGAGCTTTTCCCCAGTTCTATTTTGACTGTCATTCGATCTGCAGGGCTTATCTTTTGGCACTGTATCAGATAATGTTCCACTGCTATTCACAAGATTTTCAGTGGCTAACCTT